TAACTTGACGAGCTCTACAAGACTAGCATACTTAAATTTTGCCGGCAAAATGTTCTGTAAAAAGTGGGCGGACCTGCGTGGAAGTACCCTTATTCAATTATTTTATCTTCAAGTCAATAAATAATTCTATTTTTGGGATTCATTTATTGTCGAAAGTAACTCATCGGATAGATGCTATTTTCGATTGTAAAATGATAGTGACTTAAAAGTAAGAGTCCAGTCATCGAATTCTTTCTTTCAAGTTCTTAGTATTTTTAAGAGTTTAATGGCCATATTTCATTCATTTCATGCAGTCAGTAGTTTATGAAAACTAGATCTAGAAGGAATGTTGAAATATAGGAGTAAAAATATGAATTTTCATCAACAGATTATGATAGACGTTGACATACAATCACAGATCGTATATAAACAAGTAACGCTCATCGCTACGACTCGCTCAACCCTCGACTGAAGGGTTAGCAGTACTTATACGCTAGTCCACTTTATCGAGATAGTTACTAACAGTATCACATGCAACCACCTATATCGGTTTCCATACTTTTATAATGATCTATAATCGTATAGATTATCTTAGAGCTTTGTCGAGTTTGATAAAGAAAAATGTCATTGTTACTATGAATCCATAAAATAAAATATTTCGATGACTGATGTTGTGAATTTTTGGCTTATATATAGTTGTAATAAAAATTAAATTTGACTGCTTTCTGATTAATATGATGTAGAATTATTAATCTTTCGACATAAGATGATAGAAAAAATTAAGTAACGTGATTCAAACGGAGACTAACTTGTAAAGTCCTTTAGTAATATAATTTTCACGAAAGGGTAGAACAATAAACCCTTTTTCGCTAGTCATAAACCATTTTTATTTTTAAATACGCTTTTTCTCAGAAACCCTTTCGCACAAAAACTCTTTAAGCTTTTAACACACCAGCATAAACGTTTTAAGGGTTTAGGAAGACTTTCCTAAAGTACTAGGGTTTATTATTCTACGAATTTTTTTACAGTGTACCCCCATAGTATAGGACTTGAGGACCTATGGGTACCCCATATCATAACACTTGAGGACCTATGGGTACCCTCATATCATAGCACTTGAGAACCTATTGGTACCTCTATATGATAGCACTTGAGGACCTATGGGTACCTTCATAGTATAATAGTTGAGGACCTATCCGTACCCATATAGTAGGACTTGAGGACCTAAGAGTACCTCCCCCCCCCCCCCCCC